AAATCAGGAAGAAATTAATAGTAATAAAATTACAAAAATAATAATAGGAAGGACATAATAAATGTCATATAGGAAGAATTCACAGCAGACAGCATATTTTTGTGCAAAATTAGTTGAGTTTCTACACATAAATGAAAACTATCCAGAAGGAAATTAAAACAGTTACATTTATAATGGCACCAATAATAAAAAGGTACTTAGGAATAAACTCAACCAAGAAGAAAGAATACAGCCAGGAGGTGGTGGCACACGCTTTTAATCCCAGTCCTCGGGAGGCAGAGGTAGGCCAATCTCTGAGAATTTGAGGCCAGCCTGGTCTACAGAGTGAGTTCCAGGACAGCCAAGGCTACATAGAGAAACCTTGTCTCAAAAACAAAAACCAAGAACAACAACAACAACAACAGAAATATTTCTGCAGTGAGAACTATAAAACACTAATGAAAGGAACTGAAAAGGATGCAAATAAACAGGAAGATGTCTCCTTCGTGGGTTAGAAGACTGAGCATCACTAAATGTCCGCACCACCCAAAGCAATCTACACATGCAACTACAATTCTTATAAAACTCCCGATGGCATTTTGTAGACACAGGAAATCCTAACATTCACGGTCACCTGGTACAAAGAAGTCTGAATAACCAAATCCTCCCCCTTTTTTTTTTTTTTTGAAGAATAATAAAGCTGAAGACCCCAAAACACATTACAGCGCTACATTAATCAAAAACAGTAGTGTGGACATAAAGTTAGACGACTAGACCAATGGACCAGCATCGTGGACCCAGGAACAGATTTATGTGTGCAGTCAAGTGATCTTTAAGAAGCTCACTAAATCTTCTCAAAGCAAACATCAGAGGAAGGATGCTCTCCAAATGCCCGTGGGAAACTGAAGGAGGAAACTGGATTCTTACACCACTAACAAAAGTTAACTCAAAATGGGTCAAAGACTCAACTGCAAGACATGAAACCACAAAAGTGCCAGGAGAAAACGAGGCGAGTGCTTCTATAACAATGGTCTTGTTAACTATTTATTAGATAAGATTGCCAGAAGCCAGGGGATGGTGGCGCACACCTTTAATCCAAGCATTTGGGAGGCAGACGCAGGAGGATCTTTGTGAGTTTTAGGCCAGCCTGGTCTACAGAGTAAGTTCCAGGACAGCGAGGACTGTTTGTTATACAGAGAAAGTCTGTCTTGAAAAACCAAAAACCAACCAACCAACCAACCAAACAAACAAACAAACAAACAAACAAACAGATTGCCAGAATTCCAGCACCAAAAAGCAAACACAGAGAAGTGGGTCTGCACTAAACTAAATGCTTTGCACTACCAAGTTAATAGGCAACCACAGAATGAGGAAAATGTTTGCAGACTCTAAGTTTGGTGGCGTTAATATCCAAAACACATAAGGAAACCCTGCAACTCACAAAAACAAAACAAAACAAAACATCCCTCCAGGATGAGCCATTTCTCCAGAGAAGAGAAGGCCCACAGCCGAGTGACAGATGGCAAAAAGTGCCCAGCATTTCTAATCAACACGTATTCGAATCAAAGCCACAGTGAGTGTCCACCTCAAGTCTACTAAGCTGGCTATTATCCATCCCTAAAAACAGAAAACAGTGGGAAAGTTTCTCAGAAACTGAAAAGTATACCAGCCATGCAAAGTCACAGCTTCACTTCTGGTCAGGAGAATGGAGATCTTCAGGAGGACTCCACTGTGCTCACAGTAGTGATATCCCAATAGCCAAGAGGTGGAAGTAATGGCCAAGTTCATGGATGAGAGGAGAAAGAAGATATGCTGTGTACATGCAAAGGAATACTGCTGAGACATGCGAAGGACAGCCGGTCACATGCCACCGTGTTCTCAAGGATGTTGAGAGCACGTTAAGTTTGGTTAAGTAAAAACCAGCCAGTCCCTGGATAAGTGTCACATGATTCCACTTAAATGAGGTATCTTTGGAAGCCAGACTCCTAAAAGCACGAAGTAGAAGGATGGTTGCCACCGTCTGGGGAAATGAGTTGTGGTTCTGAAAGCAGCGTAGTTTCAGTTGGAGAAAGTTTGAGTTGACAGTATTGGACGACATATTTCAAGTCTCATGTAATGTGTTTGTTTGTTTGGTTAGTTTGGTTTTTTGAGACAGGGTTTCTCTGTGTCATTTTGGTGCCTGTCCTGGATCTCGCTCTGTAGACCAGGCTGGCCTTGAACTCACAGAGATCCATCTCTGCCTCTTGAGTGCTGGGATTAAAGGTCTGCCCCACCACTGACCAGCATTTTTTTTTTTTTAATCACACAGTTTTTAAAAGCTTTTGTAGGTAGGGTTTACAAAGGCAAATATTGCAGGGCCCAACCGTATATAAGGAAGAAGTGGGTAAATAATGGGGTGAGCACAGGGTGTGGCTGACTCTGCCGAACTGCAAAAACAGTCACCACTCAGCCGTCCCGACTGCTGCCATGCAGAGCAGGGGCCGGCAGGGTCACCAGATAGAGTTTTATGTATGCTCTCTTCTTTTTCAACTTAGAATACTTTAAAACTTCCGGCTCAACAGCATCTGTGCATTTGTCCAGTGCCTAGTTTGTGGTCTGTGGGCTAGGAGGGGTAACTTAACATCTGTAGGATTGATTGGGAAGTACAGTGGAGTGTGTGGGACACACAGGGACAGTAACTGCTACCCCAGGGTGGGAACTGTGGAATCCTGGAGCACAGTGTTGGCTGGAGAAACACGGAGGGAGAAGAGACGGAATGAGTTGGAATTAAGAATGCAGCAGGATTCCTCAGCTAAACTGGAACAGGAAGAGAGAAAATCTTCACTGAAGTTCAAAGACCTTAGAGAATATACTAAAGTCCTTGTCTCCTTTTCCTTGTCTTGTGTGCTTACAAAAACTAAGGACACTTTCTTTCATAGCTCTAGTATAATAATCAAAATCAGGAAATTCAATTGTAAGTTCATTATCTAGGTTATAGCCCATATTCAAATTCTGCCGGTTATTCCAATATGCTGAAACCAATTCGCAGGCAGAACTCAGAATCCCCTGTAGGAAGCTGGCAAGATTAAGTAGGTGTGTGCTGGCGGCAGGCCTTCTCTCTCCGGGAAGGTTTCACTATCCTCCACACAGGAGCATACATGAGGTCAGGTGACCAAGACAGTGAGCCCAGGAGACAGAAAAGCATGCAGATGGTAGGTGCATGACAATCCTGGAGGAAATACTACAAATCCATTTCCTTCAGCATGCGGACAGTAGATACCATGAAACAGACATTTCTGAGTCAACTACAGTTAATGAAGCTTGCAGGAAGGTGACATGAATGAATGCCTCTTGGGAAGGTCCAAGGAGCCTTCTTGGAGGGGATAGGATTTGTGTTGAGGCTCTGGGGAGAGGCAGGACTTCTCCAAGGGGCCTGCTTTTGTTAGAGATGGGGTAGTGTGGAACACTCCATTCTATGGAAGATAGCTGTAATCCTGGTAATGTGCCTGTACACAGATCACCTGGATATTTATAGAAGTGGTGATGTGATAGAATTTATCAAGCAACAGCATTGCAGAGAGGCTAACTGTAGACTTGGATTAATGGCAAGGGCTAGCCATTTTCTGAACCTACAGGAACGCTGCTGTATAAGGGTCATGGGGAGTGATAAAACGGTTCATCAAGGAGGCTAGAGTGAAAAAGTACCTTTCCTTTACTCTGTGAAATATCTACTCCTAGGGACACACCCTCCACAATTGTTTACATCTCTCAGAAGAACTACTAGCATTCAACCTGAATATATTTGTGCTTCCTTTCCCAGGTGAGGACCAAGGACCATGTGTTTGATAATGTTGGCCACCTTATCAAATACCATATGGATAATAGTTTGCCAATCATCTCTTCTGGAAGTGAATTAAGCCTTAAACAGCCAGTAAGAAAAGGTAATAATACAGGACTTGGGCCTTCCAGGAAATGACAGCTCCAGACACTGTGGCAGTGACGTCAGAAGAATATCCTTTTTGTGTCAGGGACAAGGACAACTCAAGCCTTTTCTCCAGATGAAATAGAACACAAAGTGTGAAACATGTCTTTCTGAGACCACCACGGACTATGTCTTTTATAAAAGAGAGAACTAATAAAATGCCCTCTAAATATGAAGATCAGAGAGGAAGACTTTCGATCCCTTTGAGAAGGAGCTATGCAAATGCACGGAGGTCACTTTGTAAAGGCCACATTGCATTAAGAGCTAAGAGCACAACTACAGTTTCATATGCTAAGGACAACTCGAACTGCTCAGGCAGTGGTATGTGCCTTGGACTTGATAATCTGGGGACATTTTCATATGGGGGGAGGGTAGTTCCAAGTGTTTTCCTCTTCTATAGCTACAGAACCAGTTGCCAAAACAGCTTTTCCTTGCTAAAAAAGCAGGAGGAAGCAATTTGATGAGCAGTGTTGACTTGAACCGCTTTCTCTTTAGTAGCACTGTTGCTGCCATGTTAAAGACGACACTGACATCAAATTCAGACTGTGTCTATGTCATGCAATGAAAGCGAAAGCCACTGATGGTTTCATCATTCTGTCTCCTTTGTTGATGAAAAGGTTGGGGCCCGAATTCACTGGCCCGTGTTCCTCAATCTTAGCTATCTGCACTGTTCATATGCAGCATGGGACATGTTCATGAGGCCAAATCTCTTGCTTCCTTCTGATTTTGAGTACATAGCTATAAAAGACGGTAAACAAAGCCAGTGTTCTTCATGCTCAGTCCCCACTGGTTCCATCCTTGCTGAGAGTACAGAAGGTAATTCAAAGTAGAGGAAACTCTCCTTCTGATTGGCTGCCTCCGAATCCTAGTGTCACCTCTAGGTGTGTCCTGTCTCCCTCTCTACATGTGATCAGACCAAACGCAGAGTAAGAAGACACATAGGTGAAGGGTTGGAAAGGCCCGCCACACCCAGCCCGATGGTAAACTGGTGGTGAAATTAAGAATCCTCAGAGAAGCTCTAGGCTCAGACTATTCATCTCTGTGGTTCTTGGCAGGTTGCTAAACCTGTCTGGATTCCTGTTTTCTTGTTTATAAGATGAGGGAGCTCAGAGGTGCATTCCAAGGTCCGTTGGCACCCTAACATAGTTTTTCCTTTGTTAGAAATTAATACTGAGAAGCAGCTTGTGTAGTGAAGGGGAAACATTTAGGACTTCCCCTTACTCTGTGTCTATACTCAACTGCTCAAGGGTTTAAACAAGTCATCGCTCACATAGCTCCACCCCAGGCGTTTCAGTGTAAAGCAGGTAATGTTGATATAAGTGGATCTGGTTGTTTTAGTAATAGCAGAAATACTCAGGCAGTTCTTACTTGCATTTGCATATAAAGAAATGGCCATTACTAAAGGAGAGATAGAGAGGGAGAGGGAGAGAGAGAGGAGGGAAGAGGGGGAGAGGGAGAGATATTAATTCTGAATTAATTCTGAGTTCTCTGGATAGTTATCTCAATACTACTTCATTTTGGCTAAGTAGATACAACTTAACCTTTGTGGTTTATGATATATTCGGTAAGTTTTGAGTACAATATGGACTAGTTCTTTTGGATAGAAATCATCAGAAATCAAATACATTGAAGTCTGACGTTTTTATGTAACAGCTCACCATTTTATTTCTGCTACCATTGGCTTCTTATGTAGGTTTCCTTTCCACAGTTGGAAAATAATGTATATTTCATTGATTTCCCCCATATATCTTAAGTCTTCATAATTTTTCTTCATTAAATGGATCAGCGCAGTGATAGGAACTTGTAGGCCACCTGCATCAGAGACAGGGTAGGACTATGGTCTCCTTCCAGCTGATGCACAGAGACTGGGTAGCCAGGAGGTCCAGATGCAGGGAGCTCTGATAGTGTAAGCAGCACACATGGGTAGTCAACACTGGATCAAGTGGTGTTGTAGCTAGGGAAGCAAATACTGCACTTTCAGATACTAAAGACACTAAAGTTCACACACACCCAAAAGATGCAAGAAATGTCTGCATGCTACTTTAATCTCATCTTCTCAACCTCTATTTTAAAATGGTGGTTCATTTGCCTGTAAATATCTGTAAATGACTTTTCTAAAAAAAAAAATAAATGAATATTGCTTTGTGACAATAGACACTATATGTCTGGTATTTTGGGACTTGGAAATTTCATCATTTGTGTGGTGGATCAGTGTCTTGACAGGAAACAGATGGCTCATTCAAACTGAGAAATTTGAGGAGAGCTTAATAAAGGGTATTTAAGGAACGGTTAAAGTGTAGAGAAACCACAAGTAGAATGCAGTGCTCTAGGGCCCAGGAGAAGGGAGAGGGTGAGAGCAGATATAGAATCTGGAGAGCCATATGGCTGCATACAGGAGCTGTGGAGGGTCCTGGGGTGGGGATCACAGCTGATCCTGGGGAGCTGTGGAGGGTCCTGGGACGGGGGTCACAGCTGATCCTGAGGATGCAAAAGAGAGGGTCAGCTAAGAGCATTAATAACCTGATTTTTTTTTTCTGCTCTGTCTCTGACCTGCTGGATTCTTTACTGACTGAGGTAACTTGAAGGCAGAGTGAGAGAGCTTGTTGATGTTCCCTTAAAAGTTGGCTTCCCAGGGCACAGCAGAGTGATTCCAGGGAAAGCAGGGTCCCCGTTCTTGGTCTCCTTAGTAACAGAAACTAAGAATGAACTCAAATGGGAGCTTGAGGACAACTGTACAAGAGTTCAAAGGAAACCCCCAGAGTAGTCAAGCTGTCCATCTCGGTAGTTGCCCAGAGGAGGAGAAAAAGCCATGATGTTTGAGTTAAGCTGGTGTACAGGCCAACATGGTGGACCAGCAGCCAGATGTCGGGGAGGGGAGCTTGAGAGAGTGTAAAAGCTCAAAGTCCCGGAGAAAACATATGTGGGTTCCCAGAGAAAACATGAGGAGAAGAAACAGGGAAAGTTACACCCGCCTGAGTGAGGCTTCACAAAGGCACGTAGACCCAACAGAACTTCATGGCAGCTCTAGGTTGAGGATGCTAGGGGACAGAAATCCTGGAAGGAAAAGTACATAACTCAAAGAGCCAACTATTCCTCTCATATGTCTTACTGTTCCCGCTACAGAACTCCACCATGCACCTCAGCATGGAACACTAGACATAGTTTGGTAATGAAGTGTGCCCAAGTCTCATTCTCCTTAGCAGATATCTTGGCTCACCTTCTGAACAATTGCCATTTACCTGAATGCCTTTCATTGATCTTTTCTGCACCCAACATCTTCCTTTATTTGCCCATTCCTTTAATTTATTCATGAACAAGTTAACACCGTTGCTTTTGAGTGCCTAGCATGGGCCATGAAGCAGGATGATAAATGCTTAAAAGTAAATACCTCAAGATGTTCATATTGTTCTGTGAGGGAAACAGACATATAGTAACCAACTGTAACAGGAAAGAGATGCAGCTGCCCTTGCAGCAGGCGTGCACATTGTGGACCGTGGTAGCGGACTCCACTTCCACAAAGTGAAGTGTGTCCTGAGGGCGAAGTGGGTGAAGGGCTGTAGAAGTGAAAACAAACAAACAAACAAACAAACAAACAAACAAAAACAAAACACGGCACAGCTGAAACGGAAGCCATCTTGGAAGTTCAGCCTTGGGGTTTCATTGTTTCCCTGGATCGAGCTCTCATTCTGTATCAGATACCCAGCTGGGGGGTCAAGGCGGGCATTACAAGGATGGGGTGGCAGTTGGCGGAGCAAAACTAGCCAGATTTGGAAGAGCCTTGGAAAAGTATTTTACTCCACATGGTACACATGGCAAAGGTTTAAAAGGACGTGGTAATTTACGCCACCAAGTATTCATCGGGACCCTTCTTACCAAAGAAGCCAGAGACAGTAATTGTCACAGAACTCAGGGGGCTACAACCTGTGTTCATGCCACGTCCGGCCACCCTCCCTCAATTAAGAGAGACGAGCTAAAAGTGGAAGGCAAACATAAGATTTACTCCATGTGGTTGTGGTCTCCAAGCTCAACGACGTAATGAGATTTAACGATAGGCTAACATCCAAGGGGATTCAAGCATGCAGTGAAGAGGCACCTGGGAGCACGCACAATCAATCCTATCAGCAAAGAAACACTCATTTACACATGTCACGTCTGAGGATACGGCCAAAGTTAACAACTACCAAGGCTGGAAGTTGGAGGAAACTTCTACGAGTTGATGGGGGAAAGACCGAGTGTGCTCGCTCGCTTACCTCTCTCTGGAAGGGCAAACGCTCCGCCGTCTCTAGGCAACTCTAAGCCCGCCCTCTCAGAAGGCCTTTGTGATTGGCTTACGACTTCCCCAATGGGGGCTCCGGGGAGCTTCCCGCCGCCACTGGCGCCCTCTTCGAACAGCCGCGCTCTAGCAACTGCAGGCGACCTCTCAACCGACCATGTGGGAGGCGGGTTTTCCGCCCTGTCGCTCCGCCCAGCCGGCCGGCCCATCAAGCGGCGGCGGCGATTGGAGGAGGCGGCTGCTTGTCGAGTGGCGGGGTTCGCGGGCTTGGTTGGACCGGGAAGGTGCTCTGAGGCTGGAAGTAGGAGTTGCAGGTGGCTGGAGGGCGCTTCGGTGACTGCAGTCTTCACGGCCGGGCGGGCTGCTGCGGGATCGGGAGCTGCCTTCGAGTCTCCTGCACCGGGGCGACTGTGCACGCTGGCTCCCTGCCTGGCCCTCGGTCCCCGCGCTGCACCGGCAGACCTGTGCGCGCCTCGGGTTCCTGGGCGCCGGGCCCAGCTCTTTGGTAAGGGCGCTGCGTGAGTACACTAGGTGGAGGGAGCTTCCTGTATTTTAGGGTTGCTGTCCTCTGCCTACCTTGTTTTGTGCAAGCGGTTTTCGGTACCACGGATCGCAGGAGGTTGTCGTCATTTGTGTCCATGGCTGTGTGCCCCCGACCCCCAGTTGCTTCTCCGTGCCCTTTGTAGTCAGAACAGCATTTGGAAAGGGTCTGAAGCAACCTGTTGCGTTCTGGCTGTTTTCCATTCTGTAAGAGAAGTTAGCGTGTAAGCCTAGTGGGTGCCGTTTCCTAACTCCCAGGGCCCTTAACATTTAGTTCACAATTGTAGTCATGAATGTTAGTGTGACTTAAGCAGAATCTCGCTTTATAGCTTCACAATACGTGATTGTTTTCATGTAAAGGCTGAAGTTTGAAGCCACAAGCGAAGGATAATAAGACGAGCTCTCTGGAAGTGCTGAGAGTGGACTTTTGATGAAGCAGGCATCTACAGGAGGGCGGAGTCCTTATCTCGGAGATGTCAGGTTTCCCACAGTCAGTTACAGTCACTCCTTTCTTACACCTACGCTGTTTTTACCCCGTCTCATTAGTAAAGACATGGAAACAGCACAGCTGCCAGAGTCCAGGGTTTTGAAGGAGGACCTTCGGTGCTTAATTGCTGACAGCTCTATTGCATCCTGTAAGGCCTATCCAAAGATCCTTTCTACGGCAGCTGGAGAGATGATGGTTCAGCGGCTAAGAGCTTGTCATTGCCCTTGTAAGAGGACGTGAGTTTATTTTTCAGCACCCACATTACATAGGTCACAGCCATTTGTGACTCCAGCTCCACCGAGGCCTGTGACCCAGTGGTTATGGTCACTCATAATTAAAAAAATAAAAATATTTTTGAAAAAGAAAATATACATTAAAATTTGGTCAC